TGCTGCTGCTGGTTTGCTGCTTGGTGCCTTTGCTGCTGCTGCTGCTGCTCCTGCTGCTGCTGCTTGGTGGTTTGTTGCTGGTTTGCTGCTGGTCCGCTGCTGGTTTGCTGCTGGTCTGCTGCTGGTCTGCTCTGCTGCTGCTGCTGCTGCTGCTGCTGCTTGGTGGGTTGCTGCTGCAGCTGCTGCCGCTGACCTCCGATTGCTTACCAACCTTTCGTCCACCCCCCCTTTCTCACGTGTCTTATGTCTCGAATTGTCATTGATGCACGGAGCCTCACAGGTTGCCCTAGAAAACCCTGGGTCTTGCAGTAAAGGCTAGTAAAAGCTATATACTCATTTTTCTAAGTAGAGGGCATCGTTTCGACGCCGAAAACTCGCATGTTCTTGGGCGGCCTTTTTCACGCCCAGTCGGAGAGTTGTTGTGCCCGTTCGGACATCAGGTCCTTCGAACCTGTGTTCAGGAACCGCCATTGCCAAGCACGAATCGTGTTCTACTCATTACACGAACGAAACCAGCCCCCCCCAAAACCTCCCCCGAACCTCGCGTAGTATCTTCTGTCGTCACATCCTCAACGCATCAGCGTCGTATTCTACTCACTATATACACGAACGAAACCAGCCCTCCCCAAAACCTCCCCCGAACCTCGCGTAGTATCTTCTGCCGTCACATCCTCAACGCATCAGCGTCGTATTCTACTCACTACACGAACGAAACCAGCCCCCCCCAAAGCCTCCCCCGAACCTCGCGTACCTAGACACTCCACCGATGCGCTGGGGACACCTATACACAACATGGCGCATCACACGCTGTCGTTTGCATACAACGCTGTCGCATGGTTCGCATGGCTCGTATATTTATCTTCATCTTAACACGCATTTTGGCTGCGTTTGTCGCATTGCCGCGTTGCAAAGTTGAGATCACCGCCGCAATGATTATATAGGCATGGAGATTGTTTTGTTGTTCCAAACGACACCGTGATTGTCATGGACAAGGTGATGTTTCATTGCAAATCATACAACGACACCGTTTGGTCGGTAACCAACGACTGCCGCAGTCTAACGGCATCGCGACTATAAAAAAGAAATGTCGCGCACAGTCTGTGTCTTATGACGACATCGCTTGCTCCGCAAGCCACGACACCGTGATTGTCCCGCAATCATCGCGCTTACAGGGCAGCTTTTGTGGCTGGCGACTTGCTTGATCGGCAAGGCCCGACACCGTATATCGCAAGTTGTTAAAACGACATCGCAATATAAGAACAAGGCGTCTATATCGCTTTGAATCATACGCCGACACCGCTTGGTCGGTGAGCAACGACACCGCATTTGACTAACGCTGCTGCCGGCATGCCGCGCTGTCATGGAGACGTCAGCAACACGTGCCCACATGGAGAAAGAAAGGGGGAGAGAGAACGACAGCGAATGTCATTAACCATTGACCGCCATTGCGCACACAATTCGACAATGCTTGTTGCCGGGCTTCGACGGGGCTCCGCTACCATACGCAAACTTTCTGTCAAGAGTCTTTAAACGTAATCATGGCAGGCTAGCCACCTCTGCGCTTTGCATTTTTCTCACTTCAATACCCTTCTCAAGAATATTCCCATCTTCGCCCGCGGGATATTGGAAAAACCAAAGCTTTAAACCATGTACGGTCGCGCGCGCGTATGTGTTTTTTTCTCCTCTTGGTTTGTTTCCATGGTGGTTCTCCACGATGCTTCCCACAAACCCACAATCGAACTCCTGCCGCGCTTGCAGCTTGTCGCCGCCGCTTTCTGCAGTCACGCGCAAACAATGTTTTCAACTATTTGAGTGAGTTGACTTTATCGCCTTGCGTTTCCCTCATCCATTTCACTGTGGACAGTGAAAACCCTGTGACAAAGTGTGTGTGTATATATATATATATGTGGGCACAATTATTAGACAGCAGGTTGTTTTTGCAAAAAGATGTATTCGACGTGCTGCCGTGACCCTTTTCAAAGCTAGGTCTCACAAGGCCAAGGGCGGAAGAACCTCACGAATCTTCGATACCACAGGTGGATACATAGACAAAGAGCATGTTGTCGGTACCACATGTGGACCGGAAGGAAAAAACACCGCAAGTCTTCCATGGACCATCTTGTAGAACTCATGTTTGTTCCCCATGTCGGCAGCTTGCTGTGTGAGTGCTGGCCAGCTCTTTTCCGAGGCGGCCCTGCTCCTTGACACCAAAGAGGTTGTTCCCCTTTGAAACCCCTGGTTTTTGCACGGCCGGGTTGCACTTGAGTTTTTAAAGGACTCTGACTCACAGCTGTGGAGAGCAGAACTGATTCTTATGGGTCTCTCAACTAACACGGTGGGTGGGTTTATTCAAGTTTCTTCGTGCAAAAACATGCTAAGCGAGAGAATGTACCTTTGCAACACACGTTTGTGCATGCTAGCCCCATGGCACTTCCGCGCCACACTCTTCAGCTTGCCTAAGAAAGACTCGTCGTTGAAGACGTGATACGTCCTCGGGTTTATCCGGTTTTGTAAGACATCTACAGCAAGATGTACGAGACAGTGGTGCTTTGGGCGCATTTTGAACGCCATCAAACCACGCTCCCAACAATGGCTTGCCAAGACTTCAGTCGATCGCAAGTGCGCCGTGATGTGGTAGGCCAATTCCTGGGGGCAGCAGTGAGCAACTCACTGAACAATGCATCATGGTTTGTGGCGAGGTAGCCCCCGACCCTATCCACCAACACCTTTCAGATAGAACACACAGAGTTCAGGATGCTCAGGCCGGCTATTGGTTGGAACTTGAGCTTTGCTACAAAAAACATCCAGTTTAACAGCAAGAGAGAACAGCCCCCGAGGTAGATCACGCCTTCTCTCTGGTATAATGGATCCACAGTTCTAGGTTGCATAACCTCTGGGAGAAAAAGCGTTTTAAACCAAACTGGGCTAGTGCAGCCACTCCACAGCTGCGTCTGCTTCTGACAGAAGCAGCCCGCAGCAGTCCATCAGTTCAATTGCCCGGGCCAAGGAGAAGGTGCATGTCCGCAGGACTTCAAGGAGGCCATTTTCCTTGGATTGATCCGACGCTTGGCTACCCAGTGGATTGGCTGGTTTTCTATAGAGGGCTTTGAATTGTTAAATAGAAAGAAAATGGAAACAACTTACTCACAGCTACGGGCCAAACAAGGCGCTAATTTCTGGGAGATATCTTCAACCTTCACAGCAACCCACCAGACCATGATCTTGATATGAGCAGCCTTGAAGCGGGAACCAAGCTCTGGATAGTCTTCCTGTCCAAACGTCCCGCAGTTAGCCACGGATAGGACTCGTCGTGGAAGGTACATCCTATATAATGCGAGCGGAGCTTTTGAAGTTGGAGGCCATCGCTTTGAGGTTGGAGGCCAACTTAGGTTGGAGGCCATCGCTATTAGGTTGGAGGCCACCCTTGGTGGGTCTTGTTTTCTGCCATCTAGGCTTGACGTCAACTAACATGAAAAAGTAAAACTACCGCATGGCAGGCTAGCCACCTGTGCTTTTTGCATGTTTCCCTCATTTCAATGCTTGCCCTTCTCAAGAATAGGTCGTCTGACTCCCCTTCTTCGTAGCAGCACCCGAGATTTTGGAGCAGCTTCAACACAGATGGAATGTGCCCCCTAGCAGTTCCAAGGTAGACTAGATGCATCCAATCAAGAGGGCAGTTGTCGATCTGCCAGCCCGGTATGATAGACCACGGAGAGGCACGGTGAGCTCTTTCCATGTAGGAGCTATGGTCCAGGAAGGTGTCAAGATAAGGAGCTGACACCGACATGTTCTTGTACGTCATTGGATGGATCTCGTTCGATCTTACTTGTATCGCGTCGCACCGTTCGCACAGATTCCGACATTGGTAGTACCGGTCGAATCGGTGGCACTGCTTACGTGCTTTGAGGTCGGCCTTAAAAGCGAAGTAGCGCATCCTTACACTCAATTAGGGTCGTACAAAGAAGTCTCAAATCCAGATGGCATCGGTTTCAAAACGAAAACAAGAGAACCATGCACTGTACCCCAGCTGAGTGTCTTGTAGCCACACGCTAGTGTCTTCCCAGCCAGGCCAGCCCTGAACGAATGCTTGGGGAATGGTTCGTTGTAGAAACCCCGCAACGGTCCAGTCCCTGCAGCTGCGTGCTCTAAAGACCATGCGGTGACCTTGGCAATGGTCTCGTTCACAAGGTCTCGGACCTTAGCCCCGCACGCGAACACGGAGGGTTGCGCTCTTTTTGAGAAGCGGGGCTTTGGACACGTCGCTCCCAAAAAATAGAATATGTCTAAATGATGATAAACACCAATGAAGCGCGACAATTAAATGCATTCTTTTTTGTTGGAAGCTAGGACACATTGTCGTCAAGCATTTCCCTCTCTGCAACAACAGCTATTGGAAAGCGATGAACCATAGGATCAGCAATCAATGATGACGATGAGAAGGCTGAAGACCAGCTCCAAATAAAATACTCGTCGTCGGTATACATTTCTGCCCCATCAGCATGTATACTACACAGTATGGTTTTCTTCAGCTGGTTATCAGGCAGGCCGTGTATGACGCTGTGATGCTTCCAGGTCTCAACTGTTTTGACATGGCTCCAGAAGTTTAAGACTCCTTCATCACTGTATTCTCCCAACATCACCGATTGGAACTGCAGGGTTGCGGAGAACAAGCGGTGAACCTAACAAATTAACAACCATGGAAACATCCTCATAGAACCTCACACCACGTTAACAACTGTTTTGAAAGCCCCAAGCCCGTACCCGTAGCCTGCCGTTTGAATGGGCTCACCGCGTGAAGCACTTCATGTGGAAGCAGAACGTAGGCGGACACTGGCTGTGGCTGGTCGGAGTAGTTCACCTGGCAGGTGGAGGGCCTGCTTGGCGTAAAACTCTTGACTTGCGAAGCTTTTGCAACATGTTAACATGTTTTAAAACTCTTTTGAGAACATCCAAGTGCCTGCAACTGTAGCTTGATTTCGTAAGGCTCTAGTTGAACTCCCCACAGTCCCCGCAGCCACCGAAGCATATCCCGTTCAATGTTAGCGTCACAACTTCCGTGGCTCCAGCAGGAAGAGCCGGATTGTTTAGGCCGTCGCTCCGACTAGTTTGGACAACATCATGGGCGACGTTGACATGAGCACTGCCCCTGCCCACCAAGCTGATAAGCTTGTTGACTGTTCGGCTCTCCGGCAGATCCTCCAGCCTTGCCCGCTTTCGGGGCGTGGACAGACCTGCCAAACAGCGTAGAGTTCAGCCCACTAAGCTCCACCAAGTGAAGAAGAGCAGCCCTACCACGCAACTTGAACGGCTCTATTCCCGTGCATACGCAGCAGCCGGTTCATCGTTAGAAAGCCCTTAGCAAAAAACAAACGCGCTAGCCGTTTTGACTTCGCAAGATTGCAGTTAGCCTGCAGCACAGGTCGCTCTGTGAAATCCCTGGTCAGCGCGGAACACTCGCGAACCCTAACCCCCAAAATCACACTCCGTGTGAGTGCTCACGCTTCAGAATCGCTAGGCTTTGCAGCGCCCTTTGCCTTTGCTTTTGCCTTTGGCCGACGACTTGCTCTGATCTTTGACAAAATGCCATTGGCAGAAGCCTTGAACAGGGAATGGCAACAAGCAAACCAAAGCTTGAACACTTTTAACAGGCAACATTGTTACGCACGACTCTCAAACAACAAGTCTTTCAGTGTTTTGGCCATTGCTTTGATAAGGACAGCTGGATTTTGAAACCATGGCCTCCGCTTTGGCGTACCAGTGAAACTTGGCGTCAACTTGAGTGATCAGTTCCTTTAAGGTCTTCATGCATGGAGGTTGCTTGCCGACTGCTTTCTGAAGAGCCAAGAAGAATTTCTCCATCAAAACAGCGTGCTGTTTGAGCTGCTGGCTGAGTTCGCTGGCATACTCAACCCCTTGGAGTTCCAAGCTAATCTTTCTAGCTTTGGCTGCCTGGTCCAAAGTTGCTGGGATCTTGTCGTTGGCCAACCTAAGGATGATTGGACGCTGAACGCTGGGCTTCTGGGTTGGCGGGGCTTGGCATCAAAAGAAGAAAGATGAGTCTTGGACAAACATATATGATATATGGATAGATAGTATGTGGAGACATGGACTCTATAGAATGTATTGAAATGAGACCTGGCATTCAGTGTTCGATGAACAAAGAGTCAACGACTTGTCGCAAGTTCACACTGGTGCACCATATGTTCTCCGAGAGTAGCGCTTCTTGATAAAGAGGGTTCAGTGATTTGTTCAATGATTGGTTTGTTGGCATTGGCCATAGATAGACTCACGCAGTTGCACCAGACGTGCTTGAAAACATTTACTCTTTGGAAGACAAATCTGCGAAGCATGGCTTGGGTGTACGAGAACATCACTAGCCGAGTTCAAGACTCAAGATGGGTCTTCGGCTTGACTGGCTCGCTCGACTCTCCCTTTTGAGGCTTCTTCGCTTTGACCTTGGCGACCGCCTTGCCTTCGTCATCGATAGCTTCGAGCAGCTTCTTGGCGCCAGCTTCAGTGGCTGCTTTGACGGCAGGCAGGGCGCCAGCAGGAAGGGCGGTTTCGATCATGGCGTTGAAAAGGTCTTGGTCGCTAGATGTAGCTTTTGCTGTCATCTTCTCTGACGCGCTGTTGTCTTGGCGGATCAGTCGCCCAGCTGGCATATAGTACCAGATCTCCTGTCAGAGTGAGAAGGAGCACATAGAATCAACAGGTCTTGACAACCGCGCGTGCAATTCCAGACAGTCCACATGACTCACGTCTATGGTATTGTAAAAGTCTATAAATACTAGTATTAGTGTATAATCCATGTGCTTCTCTTCTTCTAGCGCAATTTGTCAAGCGCATGATTTGACGAGTGAAGAAACTCCCAGTCCTCTGGATCCGTTGGGAAGTCATCGTCCAAGTAGTAGAGGCCTGCAGCCTTGCGGGCCTCAATCACCTGGTCCGCCTTCTCGTTCCCAAGTTTGGCACGAATATCTTTGGCCTGTACCCCAACCATTTCGGAACGGGCCAAGTTTTTGGATTCCTGCTCTCTCACCACCGCGATCTCAGTCCTTTCCCATGACATTCCATTGTCTAGCCAAATTCCAAATAGGTCGTTCTTGTTTTTGCGGAAGGCAGGCATCAAAGACACAGGAAATGTCTTTTTGTTCTGGGCTTCTCTTGCAAACTTGTCCCACTCCTTCTTGTGAGTTTCGCTGTTGCGAACGCCTTTGCCTTTGGTTGTTTCCTTGGCTGCTTTCGCCAATTCATCACCCTCTAGCTCTGGCTCTTCCAGATCCTCCTCCAATTCTTCCTCCTCCTCCCCCTTCCTGCTCCTCATTCTCCTCCTCATCGCCTGCCTCGTCTTCCTCCTCTTCTTCCTGTTCATGGTCTTCTCCCATACCTGCTTCCTTTTCGCATTCTTCCTCTTCCTCGGCTTCTTCCTGTCCTTCTAAGTCGTTGCCTTCTTCTTCTGCATCTTCTTCCTCAGCTCCAGTACCAAAGAGCTCCTCTTCTGTTTCAGCAGCCTTTGTCTTAGCCTTGTCAGCCTTTTGCCTTTCACTCTTGGCCAAAGCTCTTGAAACACCTGCAGAGCCCGAGTGATCTTCAGAGTCATTGAGCAAGGAGTCCAGGTATTCCCCCAAGCCAGCAGCGTTCATCTCAGCACGAGCAGTCGCTTTGTCGGCGGCAATGTGCAAGTCATGGGTCTCCTGCAAAGCCTTCTCTGCCCGTGCCCTGGCAGCTGCAAGCTGCTCGGGTGTACGAATCTTGGACGCAGAAGGTGGAGGCGAGGAGCTCGGCGATTTGAAGCTCAATCGCCTGGACGGTGGGCTTGCCATCCTAGTCGGCCCTGTTTTTTCCTTTTTCTTTTGTTTTGTCTCAGCACTAGGCTTGGCGCTATTCACATCAGCGGTCTTCGCTTTCTTTCCGGTTTTCACCGCAGCTTCCTTCGCAAAGGCAACAACTTCCTGCTGCAACTCAAGGGCTCGCCCTCGCTTTGCGGCTCGCTTGCCTGAGACTCTCAAACCTTCCAAAGCTGGAACCTGCTGAGGCTCTCCGATCTGTTTCATCTCAGGCTGTATCTTGACCCGGCGGTTGTGCGGCTCTGACTTTTGTTCAGGAGCTTTCAAAGCGCTGGGGCGGCTGGGCAGCTTCGCCGCTGGCTTTTTGACAACCTTGGGCCCCCCCCTTCGCACCATCGGCGGTGTTACCCTTCCCCATGAGACGAAGAGCCGGCAGCACAGACAGGACACTGCTACGTGGCTCCAACTAACCTAGACAAGCGCAAGGCCACTGAACCTGCTGGCAGCAACAAAAACAACATCCAATCAAAACGATGCCGCCAGACACGCAGTATCTACAAATCGCACTAGAGTCACTTAGAGTCACTCAAGTTTGATTCCAAATCGAGATTTGCTAGGCCCTGCTAGATATGGATTTCGATGACATTCTACAAATCGCACTAGGTCGATACAAATCGCACGATTATTCTCAACAAGACGCATCAGAGTTTTGATCACATGTTCATGATTTTTCATCTTTTTTGTTGTTTCATCTTGCAATTAAGATGTCAAATCTCCGCACTGGGCTCGCAGGTGGCCTGCCTCGCGGACATCTCTTCAGCTGCAATCGTGGCATATGATGAGGCAGTTGCCTGGCATCCGTTGGTGTGAGATGGGAAAGTGGCATGGATAAGAGCAATTGGTGTGAGATGGGAAGGTGGACCATCGCTCCAGTTCATCAAGGACCCGGGGCAGTACCCAACAAAGGCCAAAACAACACTAACTCTTCCCAAAAAATACCTATGTCAATCCCGTTTACTTTCTGCGACGGACCCGAGATCACCCAGTAGCGTGTGAGCATTCCACACGCTTTAATTGAGCAAAAGCATCTAGGCACATTGTGCGCCAGGCATGCTACTTGGAAAGATAATCTAGGATTGGCTGCAGGTTGGCTGACTTGACCCATTCTCCGTGGGTTTTTGCGCTGCAGTCTACCAACTTTTGGCCCTTCAAAAGTAAAGCCTTCCTCAAGAAAGAGCGGGCTGCCAATCGGTGAGCTTTTGCGAACTTGGTCCTCACCCGTGCCATCGAAGTTCCTAACCTCAGTTGGCTAGCAGATCATTCAGAGACTGGCTCATTAAACCGCAGGTGTTGTTGAGAACTGGTGGGTTTGTCAAGGAAAAAGTGCAGGAAACTCAAATAACTTAGGAGCCTTGTGGGATAGGACTGGCTGGACTTCAAGTCCTTCCCTCCCTTCGCCCGCTTTTTGCCAGAGCCGTCAGTGTAAGTCACTGCCATCTCGACTGCCTCTGACTGAGGCAGAGCAGACTTGTTGGCGAGAAGCTGCAGTTCATCGATCTCCTTGTGACCTCGCCCAATTGCAACTTACCAAAAACAATGGGGCTATCTCGGAAGGGCGCCAACTATGTAGCACTGAGTACTATCAAAAGGAATCAAGATCCAAAAGATGCCAAAATCTATTTTTTTGGGGTGGCCTCTTTTAGTTGTTTTGGGCAGCTTTTGAGGCCTAAAAAGGCCACCCCGAAAAATGCCTTTTTGGGTCTGCTCGTGTTTGATGTTTGAAGACATACATCGAGGCGCTTGAATAAATCCAGGTCGGCTTGGCAGTTGGGCCTCCAAACCATAGGAGTTTTGTAGAAAGACGTTGGACATTCACTCCTTCCATGTTCAAGAACTTCTGGAACATCGGATGATGTTCAAGTAGGGAGTTGCAAGGCTGTTCAAGGCACCACCAGACCCTCTTTGCCTGGCATATCATGAGAATGATCACCGCACGAGCAACCATAATGTTTGCGTCAGCGACGCTCTTGTATTCAACCCAACCTAGTGGTTGCTCACGTGTGCGGCCAGTGGATCCTCGAGACCTTAGATGCAGTGGTTTAAACTATGAAGCATTCCACTGGCTGGACTTGAACCGAGCATAGACTGAAGTCCAAAACCCACCTCCAAAATGTGACGTAGTTTTGAATACAAACAGGCCTGGAACAAGCCTAGAATCATGAACACCCAACTTGAGCAAACAGGCGCCAGCCAGCGCCTGCTTCCAGGGAGCAAGTTGAGGCACTGGAAGAGAGTATTGCAGAAGCCGACGTCGCTCAAGATGTCGTGCAGGCCTCCCCCAATGTTGATGTCCATGGCAACTGCCTTCCGCTGAGCCTTTCGGAGCCGCCAAAAGATTTGAAAGGGCACATAGTTTATAATCTATCTACGGCGCCCCTTTTGGTCACCGTTCACCATCTCAAAGCTACGGCCCTCTAAAACCTAGGCAATTTAAACAAGTGCCCTTTCTACAACCTTTAGACATATTTTTTTGGCTTGAAAAAGGGCACTTGTTGAAATTGCCTTCGGACACCTTCAACGTGTCCAACCCTCCAAGACCTGAATCTTTAAAACCTTGAAATAAGGGGGCTTGGGATAGATTTTTGCGGTCTTTTTAAGCTTCATATGCCAAATGCTGTCTAACCGCAAAGCGGGATTCCCAAAACATTGGCCTTTAGAGGCGGTTGGCCCTTCTCTGGTTTATTTTTTTGTGTATTGCAGACACGACGACGACTTCAGGCCATTCACACACACGCCTGCCACTCTCCACGGCTAATCGAGCAAACTCCTGCGAAGAGTTCGAGGTGTTCTTGAGGGTCTTCCCAGCTCAGCGACGGTCGGTTGAACAACACGCTCACCAACATCAGCGCCACCTGTTCGGCAGGTTTGTAGACAACAAGAACTACAAAGACAAAGAGGAATGTTCTAATTTCAATTGGTTTCTTCGCTTACTGCCTCCTACGAGTCCTTTCGAATACGGGCTTAAAGTACTGTTTGTGATTTCCAACCCCCCGCCATGGGGGCGCGCATGCTTCTCAGGCCAGCCATCACCCAAGAACGTTGGCGCTGCTTCCAGGTGCGACTCTTGTCGGAGAACGGAAACGGCATGGCTTGGGCGGCCTTCTTAGCCCTCCTGGGTGCGCCCGCGCCTTTCATGTCTGCCACCGGGAACACACTGAACCACTCAGCTTGTTCATGTGGAACCCCGCTTCACCACCCAAACGGAAGCCCTGGACTGTGACACACCTTGCAAAAGACAAAGTGGTGTATCAAAGTGTATACCTTTGCCAGACACAAAACCGTCTCCCCTTCCATTGACTGCCTGGCAGTGTCGCTGACAGGCCAGAATTGCTTCTGGTTTGCTGGAGTCCCTGGAGCCTTGGAGTGGGAACGGGTGGCCCGCCACTCATCTGCAACAGCCAGGGTGAGTTGTGTAGCAGCTCGCATTCAAAGGCCCATTGATGGTTGTTTTTTGGGGTTCGAAGATTTTCTCAAAAAGGGCTGTGCAGCACTGCGTAGTGAACCTTGGGGCTGGGCACGAGAACCATTGAGATCGTCTTTGCGTCCTGCCATGTTCCCCAGTAGTGCATGTTGAAGAAGGTCTGAGAATAAGAGACACTCAGTTCCAAGATCAACAGAAGTCCTTAAGAATTAATCGAAAGAAATCCTTTCTTGCGCCCCTATAGATCACTACCAATCACTTCGAGCACATGCGTGAAAGAGTCCTGTCCGCACTGTCGGAGATGCGAGGGCAAGGGCCTGCAAGCGTGAGGGCGTCAAGATCTGTCCCAACAAGTCAAATCACAAGCCCCTTTTTGGCTTGCTAAGTTCACTCAGAACGTCTCAGAACAGAATCATGACTGAGGTGGTGCTGTGGTAAGCCCGTGTTGGGACGGGGGCATTCAAAGGTCACCTAGCCTCCAGCAAGGGCTTTGCTTGCCCAAAGATGTTGAAGACGAAGAGCAGGTCAAAGACGGCCTCCATAGATAAACGCCGCAAACGGTATACAGTAAACC